TATTTATAATTACGTCTTAATGAGATTTATTTGGATATAAATTATCATCCCAGAGCTTACGGAGTAAAGAAATAAAATGTTAATTTATTGAATTACAGTTGATTTATGTCTATTAAGTGATCTCACGAAGCATTTTTGGTGAATAACATTATTATAGGAAATCAATAGTCCTACCTAACACTTTATTATAAACTTAGTAATTAACGCAGTGCTATTTTTTAAATTGCATTTTATTCCATATTTAAATGTTATTTTACTCATAATTATCCAGGAAATGTCACATTTATTAAGCTCATCTTTGAAAAAGATCTTCATACAAGGCAACTTCCATTTTAACATCAAGTCCACCGAAGGATTTCGTTTTAAAACGGTACAGGGAAATAAAACAGTCTGGTAAGAACCAGTGACAATAGCGGTTGACATCTCTATCTGGTTGCTACAACAGACAAAAATTAATTAAGCATGAAACTGACGTCACTTACAAATATTTCGCTAATATTTTCCCCATATCTGAAGTTTAGATAACGACATTTTCATGTTTTTGGCGTTGAGACAAGTTCCTTTCGGTCTCTGTGCAAAACATGACAAATATTGCCCCTCCTTTTGGAGGTGTTACAATGGTGCATGGTGGTGGAGCGTATATCTTGGTACTTTGTATACGATTTCTCGTCCTCTGGAGGTTCACATTTCTTTGTGTGAAATACACGATTGTCCCTGTACTTACCCACTATAAACTGGTGTGGTTCAATTTTCACCTTTGTTGATACTGGGAAAAATTCTCACGTTTCTGCGAGAGATCGCAGTGCTTATTTGTTTGATTCCGTTCACATTTCCTTCCTACTATGCAGAATACGAGAAGTTTATTTGAACTTTACGGCGGCTTCTGCTTTCAATACTTCTATTTCAGTACCACCAATTTAACCGTGCTTTTGTGACACACTTGTTGAACTAAAACAAATTATTTCCGCAATTTGGTTGTGGCAGGCTAACAATGGTAGTGTCCGTTTATAGTTAGGGCAACCAAATGTTATTAAGGAAATTATATTGAAAGAATAAGATGCTGGGTGGTAGGTTGTTATTAAAATTGCTCTCAAATAAGTTGTTTGTGAAGGTGTGGATTGGATTTAATTGGCTCAAAATATTTTCCAGAGGCGGATTATTTTAAACATACGCAATAATGAATATTCGGTATTCGTAGAAGACATGGAATTTCTTGACCATCTGAGCGACTAGGATTATAGCTTCTGCAAAACGAACTGTGTTCAACGGAGGCGGTTTTATCGTAAGTAGATGGACATTACGTTTCTTAACGAAACTGTATCAAATTAAGCGATTTTTTAGCATCGAGATTCAGTTTTAACGCAGATGAGTTTTAGTTGTGTACATGACCCGACCCTTGGTATTGCAAGAATTCAGTCGGAAAACTACATCAACTGTGTGTTTTACCGGTTTAACATACAGAATTGACACAAATTATCTGATCGGTTTAAAATATTTAACAAAACGATATACAGAAATGACATTTATGCTACTGTAAAAGGGAATTGAAACTTTTTTGTAGCATGCTTGAGAAGTGGCTTACTCCAGCGATGGATACTGAGGGCGCAAATGTTGACATGAAAGTTAAATGGCGTCTGAATCTGAGAAAGAGAATTGAATTCTAACTTCCACTCCGTTAAACAGCGGTCACGGATTTTGTAGATTGGAACTTGAGCACAGAACGCTTACTGGCACTACTGTTCGAGTCTGATAACTGCACTTCGGTTGTCTGAACTTTCACAAACTCTGAGCCTGAAGCTCCCGTCAAACGATCACAATAATACAAAGAAACATGAACGTAAGTACGTCGTCAGTCGGAAACGGTGGCGAATCTGAAGAAGATAAAAAAACTTTGTAAGATTTGAGGTTTTCACAGCGGTGAGTATGATCGCCCTGATGACGGAGGCAGTATGACATCTGAAACGTTGGTTAACATCGACCAGACTACACAGCGCAACAACCCAGAAGACAGAAATCTTCATAAAAAACTTTATTACACTTTGTTCTTAAAAAATCTCCTCAACAACCTCCGTATTGAATTTTAACTTTAAATAAACCTGCAACATGTGTGCCCGGGGGGGATGGGGTTGCACAGGTGGCAAAAGTGATCGAGCCCATGAACGAACGAACAAGAGTCTGGGTGGCCGTGTCTGTCGTCATATATTCAGTTAGTCAGTCAGTGATCAAAGGTACAGAATATCTGAACAAAATACACAAGTAATGCCTATTACGTACTACCCTAGGGCCTTAAATGTTCCAATTTACGAAGGATACACGCCCAAAGTCATACACGATACATTTAAAGGCTACCTACACTGATTTCATTCTCTTCCGCCTTGTAGCCTCTTTGATTACAAAGCTTTGGGTGTGTTTGTTCAGAGACCAGTGTATAAGATCAACAGTCCTTCAATAAAAAATTTTTTGCTTTGTATTTATATAGTTTCTTCATTGCGTAAAATTTTGGAGAGCGATACACGATATATTTAGTTTTCGTAAGTTTTATTGAAGTATGAACTTAATTATAATGTATATTCTGCTAAATAAAACAATACTGACCGACATGGACAGTGGCGACTGAGTTTTGAAGCTGAATACTTCTTATAAGGTAACATTTACATTAGTATAGACAGCATAGTTTGCAAGGAACTTCCATTGTCATCAGAAGCATTTAATTTTTGGTATCAGACTTATTTATCGCAGAACAGCCATAATAAATATTACTCTTCAATACATGTTATTAGGGATAGCAAATGAAGACGGAGGGGCTAGGCATGTAGTACACACGGGATATATTGGAAATGCTTCTCAGTTTTAGTTGGAAAACCTGAGAGAAAAAGACGACTTGGGAGGCTAGGCGTAAATGAGGGTGTAATATTAAAATAAACTTTAAAGACAAGGGATGTGATGGATTGGATGTAAGTGGCTCAAGATAGAATTTAGTAGCTGACACTTGCAAATACGGTAATGAATATTTTAGTTCTACAAATGGCAAGAAGTCTGTTGATGCTGAACGTCTGTCGGATCAAGGGCTCGACACTCCGGAGATACTTGGTTATCTTTACTGCCAACATCAGTTACACCATCGAGGAAAGACTTTAGTATACACCGATGTTAAGTGTGGATGTGTAATTTGGAAAGTGGAATTGAATCTTTCGAATCTGAAAAGTGTTTAAGGGCAAAAGGATACAGAATTTTAGCTCGTAAGATCCGGGAAAGCGGATACTTAGCGGATCTATTCGAGACGGGACAATACTATGAAACTGTTTCTTCATTAAACTTGGCGTGAGGGTGGATTTTTGGGCTCAGATTACTTTTCAGTAGTGGGCTGTTGTGCACATGGCAATGAAATTTCAGGCAGTATAAAAATCCGAAAACTTTTTTACCACGTATAAAAGTATGAAGAGATATCGCACTTTTCAATGAGAAAAACAATACTTGGTTTTATTTCAGTTTATCTTTCTCTTAAAATTGATGTTAATGTGTTGGCAGTATTTTTAAACTATTTTGTTTTGTGCCTACTGTAAGCTGGTCGAATAAATTATTGTGAAATAATAAGTAACGTACATACGGATTTATAACAACTTTCTTCGAGTATCTGCAAAACGTACAGAGCCTATGACAGCAAACTCAAATAAAAATATATTAAAAAGAAACACATTCAATTTAAACTAAAACAAATAATCAAGCTACACACTTTCCCTTGTGAGGAAAGTGCCCTCAAAGGAGACATTGTTTATGATATAAATGTCACAAAGTCTGCACATATAATTTTCATCTCTGTGCTGAAGGACCGTGTCTTAGTGCGCTGCTCACACTGTGGTAGAAAATTTCCTTATTTGTTATTTGCCTTGTAGGCGCTTCATTACCCTTAAAAACACTAATAAAAAATAAAGTATCGGGATGTAGTCAGGTATATAGCGTTTTGAAATTTAAACGACTCAAAATTGAACCGTAATTACGTGAAATAACTAACTGAACCCCCCCCCCAACCATATAACATGAATTAGCAGACATTCTTTGTATACGTTACAGTTTGTTAGAATGAGTCAATATAAGATTATTCTATGCTACTGAGGCATACTTCAACTTTTGTCTAATTAAATCATTATATAAAATAACAAGAGTGCCTAAAGAAGATAAATCATATGTAATATATCAAATATGCCCTATATCCGCAGTACCTGAAAATGTGCATAATCAACATGACACTGAAAATACGATTTATTATATGTTTGAAACGCTTTGCTTATGTAAACCTATCTTTACGTTGGTAAATAGGAGTTAGTGTAATTTATCAAGCCCTATGTTGGGTCTAAACGTAATAAGTATACATTTAAATACATTCACACATACAACTAAATTATTTTTAAATATATGCAATGGGCTCCGTATTAGAGAGTCTTTGTAGCTTGTATTTTGAAATTATGATTTTCTGATTCATACGCAAACTTCAGTTACCCTAATTTCCATCTGCTTTCTCAACGTACGACGGGATTATCTCCTTACAAATTCGAGATGTTGGGGGGGGGGGGGGGGGGG